ATATATATATATATATATATATATATATATATATACTATTATCTAAAAACATTTTGAGGATTCGGGTCCCCACAGAATCCATTCCCATTGGAGATCGGGGATAGGGGTTAATTTCAAAATCGGGGTCAAAGATGGAGAATATGATCCCACCTTGTTGCCATTCCTACACACCTTATAATTTTACATATTTACTTACACATACTTTATTGTTTTCATTTTACTAAAACATCCCATATTTACAACTTATTTACTTAATCAACTTTTCATTAAAGAGTGTTTGTTTTGCCATTAGACCTATAATTTTTTTATTCTAAAAACACCTTTATCACTTTTTTATATGAAAAACAAAATTGATCAAATATAACCAATAGAGTGATTGCTCGTATCTTATTAAGGACAAAAATGTTTTTTTTATTTTCTTTTGATTAAATTTATTTAAATGAACATTAAAGTCAACACTATCATTTTTTACTATCATCTAATGAAAAATTAATTAAATCCATTACAAATTATAAATGATGTTTTAATAAAATACTAACTATAGGGTAGATTCTATTAAATCCATGAAATTATAATTAATATTTTAATAAATAACACTTTCTATTATTTAACTTTTACTTAATAAATCCCATGCATCACACGGGTCCCATGGTAAAAACTTCAAAAGGGACACAGGTAAAAAGGACAATAGGCGTCTAGATGCAATGAATTCGCTAAACAATTATCAAACTTGATACATTCAAGAAATATGCATAAAAGGCAGCAAAACCAGAGCTTTGCAATAACACTAGCCGAAAAACCAAAATTATTACAGACAAAAAAGAAATCGATAATTGAACAGAAAGACCCAATTAGCAAAGAAATACAAAGACCGCCAAAGAGATTTGTAAAGCATATTCCGCCAAAATTCTCTTCCAACTTTTTTTTTCTATTTTCTTCCCCTTCATCTTTTTCTCCGAACAGAAGACCTCTTTTAAAACTGGAACCTCTGTAAGTATTTCAAGAGTGGTGAAAATGCACGATGACAATATCGAAATAGATTCACCTAAGTAACGCTTCTCTGCTTAGGTATGTACTTTAGCTTAAAGCTTTTTTCAGGCTTTCCTCTAAATTTGGCTTTATTTGCCCCTGTGTTGATAACTTCGACAGTACCCACACCCGTTAACAAGTTCTCCGCATTGCCAAGGATGTTGCGTTTACTGTAATCATCCTCGACCCCAGGGCTTCCCGGACGTCCAGTTTCTGGAAATAGGACCAGCTTCACGTGGTCAGCAGCTATAGTCTCCTTCCATCCTGCATGAACATTCAGCATGATTAGCCACAAGATAGCAAATAAAGTTGAACTCCACGATAATGTCAAATTAGGACAGAGGAAATGAATTTCTCACGTTGCGCAAGGAAAGCTTCTGCTACACGACTCGAGAAACTTGTTAAACAAAAGCTTCTACTCTCAGAATCATTATCATCTATATTTCCTGGAGCCAGATGACACTTATTTGACAGAATTTGTTCGGTGCCCTCCCTTTCAGATTCTCTAGTTTCACTTTGAACTGTCATAACAGCTCCAGCTTCATGCTTCCCCACTGGTCTCCAGAGCTTGACCATCGATCGGTTCATAATGCCCCCCTGACCATAATCGGCTTTGATGGCTTTCTCTTGGGTGTGATTTCTCCTGGGTACATGTTGATCTGAAGTGCAATGACCAATGTAAGCAGCAGAAATATCAACCTGACACCTGTCACTACATTCTCCAAGTGTGACAGAAATAGAACCTATCAACAATTCGCTGTTCCCATTTTGCTCCTGTTCATCTATACATTCTCTTTGTGCCTTCACGCTTAAACCCTCTTCTCCATTTTCATGTTTTTCCTTCCTCGTCCAGACCTTATGACCATTACTTGTAGAAGTGGTTCTCTGGTCCCTGTAGGTTCCATGCTTCTGTATAGCTCCCACCTTCAATGCCAGAGGCATCTGACCTGAATGGGAACCTTTCGATATGCCCCTTGATGGTTTCGTTAGCTGTCTTCGAGCAGCAAAAACCTGTCGCCTACCACTTTCCTGCTGCAATTGTTGTTCATCGTCCTGACAGTTGGCTGAGTTAGTTTTACCAGTGGCCATCTCAGTGTCAGGTTCATTAAATCCTGCATGGTTTCTGGTATCCACTTCTAGATCAATGTCCAAAAGCCGGCTAGGCTCCACATGTTGAATATGATCTAATGACCCTTCAGGAGTGCATGAATGATAATTGGAAGCATCTACTGGACTGGATGTTTCTGCGGAATAAGACAAGTCCTCATAGGTTTCTGGCAAACCTTCCTTGAAATCCATCTTTTCCCCACTTGTTTGTTCCTTTGATTTCTGCTCTTTCTGCCTAAGCTTCTTCAGCCGTCTCCTTTCTAGGATCTCAGCTTGCCTATGGAGGTGGGGGAGGGGGAGTGACAGTGACTTAGTGAGTTCAAGCATAAATACCACATGAATGCTTTCAAAAACCGACAGTGGACCTCTAAAATGAAATAGAATTGGCAATGCATTCCAGGTTCTGTTTAGAAGTAATAAATGGCAAAGTGGAATATTTTGTTTTGCTCAAGTGGTTCAGTGTATGGTTTGGTTAGCCCAAATCAATAGGAAAACAGCTGGAGGTGTAGAACATTGAAATAGATCAACGAGAACACAACACCACTTGGGAGAAAAGCTGAAAGTTAGAAAATAAACTATGCTAAATAGGCATAATGTATCCAAGTACGAAGTACAATAAGAAAATTAAAAAAAAAATACTTGGCTCAAACTCATGAATTTTAAGGCAAAATGACATCAATATATCTGAAAATTCAGCATGTTCTAGTTCTAGAGTTCATTTCGCATTCGATGAGAGATGGTTTTACAATACTTGTTTAATGCGAATGGGCAATATGAAAAATTATGCAGTTTGAATGAGTTGGTAAATATGACAATTACATAAATGCTAATCACATAAAAATGGAAACTGAGATATCAAATAAACTGCATCAAAACAATTTGCCAATTATGTCTTGAACAGATAACTTGAACTCCTAAAGTTCAATTTTTTTTTTTTTTGATGAATGAATATCCTAAAGTTCAATTTGTTTCAATGTAAAAGAGAAAAAATAGTCTGATTGAAAATCTGAAATAAAATTTGACCCTATCCATTGCAAAAAAAGACCTTATCTATGGAGAAAAAACCATTCACTGCCACTTTAAGATTGAAACAAATGTAGTCTAAAAATTATCAGAATTCCAAGTATTAGACCAAATTTCAAGGATAATTCGAAAGCAATCCAAGTACGATAAATCATTCATCATGTTCATAAATACAAAAAAAAAGACCCTTTTGAGTAAAAGTTGATTATTTTCTTTTTTTAGAAAGGTAGAAGTCGATTATTTTCTACAGTTGTACTTTTCAACCTCTAACAGTTCACATACTCATTTTGCCATCAATAGATAGATACGCTTTAGATAGATAGATACGCCTTTTATTAATGGATTGACTTGCATAGACAATAGCCTGTATACCATTGTACATCCTTTCATACAATCTTCCATCATTTTGACTAATACAATACCGTAACCTTCACAAAGGTAAAAACAAAAAGATATGGATGGTCCATTTGAACAAATTCTTTCATCAATGTTTATTCTAAACAATATACTGCAAAAACCATGTAGTTAGTAGAAGTTTCATTGATTTTGATGGCATATGCAAAGCACTAAATAAAAAGGCCACTTAAGAGAAAAATAAATTAAATGTAAAAGCCTGATAGAATAACATGAGATAAAAATTGGGAATTTCAAATTATGTTGTGAGTTTGAACTTTAGGTGGATTGTGGACTTCCTTTACAAATATGAAAGGTTAATTCAAAGGGGTTTGGAGGGCAGAGGAAGTTTATGAGATGATCTTACGTGAAGTGTGGTTGGATGATGTTCATTGACTTTGATTTAATGATGGTTTACAGATATGAATAGTTAATTCATGGGATTTGAAGGATAGAGGAAGTTTCTAAGAAGATTTTTTGTAATGTGTGGTTGGATGATATTAATTGGCTTCAAAATAATTGCAGTTTAATTTTAGGGTATTAGATAGCTGATAAATGGCCTTTTGCTTGACGAAAGGTAAAACCTTCAGATGACAAGTGTGAGAACAGGGGTTCAAGTCTGAGTGCAGCCACTTTGTGCAAAAACAGCCGAATAAAGTCTGTAGCCGGTCCACCCCTCCCAAAACCACCAATATTTGGTAATTGCCCTTTAGATGATGATAAACGGCACCAGTTTCTTTTGCTTTTGGTTTAGAAGGCGGTTTAAATGTGAGTGATATTGGGTGGTATTTTTAAGGGCGAGGACTTGTAGACCTTTTTCCTGTTGTATTTACTGCTTAGACATTCCTCATCACCACATGTTGTACTCCATTTTTTCTTTTTCAATGAATTTTCCTTTATTATAAAAAAAGAAACATGTCAGATAGGATATTTATACCCAAACACGTATTCTTGAATATTGGTAATGAAAATTTCTTAATCATTTGTTCAGGCAACCAAAGAAGCGGGGAAGAATTATGTGGAGAGCTACAAGAGAAGCAGTGCTTTGGTCAATTTGGGAAGAAAGAAATAACAGGATTTTTAAAAGACTACTAGATCCAAGGAGGAAATTGTAGGAGTGACTAAAAATTATCCACTGGCTGAAAACAATTGTATTTAAAGACTTCTCAGCTGAAGATGTTTGGAGGAATTGGGGTGTTGTGTTGTGGCAAGTACAAACTCTCTTAAAGCTGTGATACAGGAACTTTGGTCCCCACCTATACAAAACAGGGTAAAGCTGAACTTTGATGGAAATTCTAATAGGCAACCAAGGACCCTCGGGTATAGGAGGGGTTTTCGGAGATGGAGAAGGCAGAATTTTAACATTGTTCTTGGGCTCAATAGGAGTGGGTGACTCGGTGATTGTGTTTCAAATCCCTACACTAGGGGTTGACAGTTGTATTTTGAAATCTTTTTAATTAAGTTACCATTTCCAATAAAAAAAAATACTTTATCTACTAAATGGCAAAGCAAAAGGTCGTAAAGTTCATCTATTGATGTGGTACCAAACAGCCCCTTAGTCTGTTAGATGGGTATATAGATTGAAGATACTACAAAAAGCACTCAATTGACCATTAGGTTCAGAATGAATAAATGTGAAGTTCAAACATGACATAGTAACAACCTTTTGAAGGGGTAGGAGAGGGAACAAAAACTTTGCCCCATTCCCATCCATTCTGGCATTAGAAGTTCAGTATTAGACACTATAGATTTCTTTTATCAGTAACAAGTACATCAAGGCTCCTTTTCAATGTCAAATAACTCCTTGAAAGAGACAATCTAAAGACATCAAGCCAGTATACTTCTAATTGAATTTTTTTCATCCTAAAAACACTAGAGTTGTTCTTAGAATGGAAGCCTAGGGAACCCCTCTAATTATCTCCATTTGCAAAACCAATCAGAGTTACTAGAAACAATGATATAGTAGTATCTGAAATCAATCAACCACGAGGTCAGATCTCAACTCAAAAAAGAGAAAAAAAAAATATTTTTCCCAACTATATAAGGAGGTTAACTACATGAATCCTACTCGGCCATTCTGCTCTATTCAGGTATTTCATCATAAATGTACCTCTTCTGAGCAGCTTCTTCTTCCTCTACAAGCAACTTCTGGCACCTCAGGGCTTCTGCATCCCTATCAGCAATCCATGCTTTAACCTATGACAGTTGTTAACCAATCATGGAATCAACAAAACATATAACCACACACAAACACACACTTCATACTTAGGATGTGTTAGTACCATTGATGTTTCTACCTGAAACGTTAGTCACTTCAAGTAGAAAAATGCATGTGTGGGGTTGAATATTGGACATTTATAGTTGAAACGTCAAATTTGATGTTTCAGGTAGAAACAACAATTATACCAAACACATCTTTCATGAGAAGAAGATTTTACCAAACACCAAAGACCATACTTGTTTTGCAGATATTAGGATTTTACTCTATATATAGCATATAGCATAAGTTTTTTTCCAGTTAACGACTAGCATTAAAACTCAATTATCACTTCATTACAATGTTTCAGGTTGGGAATAATTTCAATGGACCCTAACCCTAACCCAAGCATGTGGTTGAAGTTCTTCAAATCAGGCAACCTGAGTTGCAGCCTTAACAATGTTATCAGACTCAAGACTGTTCACGAACTCATAAAGGCCCACTGGGTCACAGGTTAAGTGGTCCAACCACTGGATTGGCTCAGTGGCCCATGACATCATATATGATAACTTGTGAAGCAATAGCCCACCAGTTGGGTCATTGTTTCATTCTTTGTGAATGGAAGGTATAGATTTAAATAAACGTTAAATAAACAAAAATTTTCTAATACATCATTCTTTGTGAATGGGAGGTATAGATTTGATTCTTTTCATTGACATTTTATGACTTATGATGAAGCCTGTCAGCTGGGTTGTTAAGACCTAGACAGTTTTCAATGGCTCACCTGAGTTAATAGCAGGATGGACAGTTTATGAAGAAAATTTGAACAGGCATTCTAAAAATTGGAAATCCCTCCAGTTCCTTAGTCTAGTAGTTCAAACATCTAATCCAGTCCGAGAAACAAAACTTCTTTCTATTTATTTTTCACAGAAGAATACAAATTAGACCTGGCAAAAAGTTGACCCAACCCGCGAAACCGACCCAACCCAACCCGAAAAAACAGGGTTAGGGTCTCATATTCAGCTACCCAAATGTGAAAATGACTCGACCCGACCCAACCCAAAAAACCGGGTTGGGTCATGGGTCAACCTGCTGACCCGGTTGTCAAGTCTAATTGGGATTATTTATGCATTGTTAGAAGTTTCCACTCTTTAATTTTTTTTCTGTTTAGTTTTTACTTTTTATTGTTAAATCTTTAAATTGTTAAATGTACAAGTTTTTTATTTTATATTTGGAATTTTAAGGTTAATTCTTTTAATTTTGACATTTTTCATGTAATTTTTCTTTATTTTTTTTAATTTCAATTATTTTTTGGGATGACCGAAATTGACCCATGGGTCAACCCTAACCCGAATATTTAGGGTTAGGGTCTAGCATTTGACAACCCGACCCAAAATTCAACCCGAAGTACCTTGACCCAACCCAAACCCGACCCACCCAACCCAATTGCCAGGTCTAATACAAATTTAACTTCCAATACATTTTTAGTGGCCAGGTAATTTGGCTTCACAATCTCCAGAACAGTGTTGTAAGACAGGTCAGACTGGATGGTTGAACCATGAAAACTGGGAACCAGTAGGCACACCTGGTCCTGATTAAATGACATTTTTCACGAGTTGAATGGGCCAACTGCCTGGTTAGTTGGTAAGATCGTTTCTCATTGAGCATTCCAGTTTTTAGCCTGACACAAACTCCATCAGTTCCATTGAATAGTGGACCAAATCTTTTCACCAGTTGGCACACCTGGTCCTGATTAAATGACAGTTTTCATGAGTTGAATGGACTAACTACCTGGTTAGTTGGTAAAGTCGTGTCTCATTGAGCATTCCAGTTTTTTAGCCTGATATAAACCCCATCAGTTCCATTGAATAGTGGACCAAATCTTTTCACCTAGGCTTATGCATTGTATGGACAACTAGTATAACCCTTAATGGAACTAAAACAAGTCTTAGTGAGTGGGAAACGAATTAATATTTTATGCCGTTCTAATCTATACAAATGCATCTATTAACTATAGATTTGTATGTATAGACCTCTGTCATTTTGCACCCTAAAATATAACAGTACAAATAGCGTAACATTATCCAATGTTATAATCTATACAAATTCATCTAATAGCAAATTAGCATCTTAGCAGAAATATTTCTCTCTTTCTCTGTTTTTATTTTATTTTATTTTTTTTATTTTTAATCATGTTCCCATATGGGGCATGGATGTCAAGCATGTTCGCCTAAAAAGGCCATTACATGATGTTAGTCCCAACTATATGGGATCGTGGGAGGCATAAACTGGATAAGGCCTAACATTTGGCATTTGTGACACTAAGTGACCACTACCAAACTTGAATTTATATTCCATACTTATCAATATGTACATATATACGGCATACCATCAATATGCTTATCTTTTGTTTTCTTCTTTTTTTCATTTTTCATGAGCATGTGCTGTAATCAAATTCTAAAAAGTGGTGCAGGGATTTGTTGGTGAAATCTTTTTAAATAGAGATCTAAACAATATAGGAATATACAATGGAAACCTTAGATATTAAAAAAATCCGAGGTGTAGATAACCACCACCAGGGAAAGCTTTAATACGTAGTCTATAGAGCTGAAATGAAGATGAATAAGTGAAACCCCTGACCAAACCATAAGGCCCCCCCACATGTGGCTAAAGTAGGTTAGATCGTCAAAAGCGGAAAAATAAGTTAGCATTTCAGTCAACCTTTATCATGTATGTACATACAGGGGTAAGAGGGGAGGGAGAGAGACATTACCAGTTTCTGTTCCACCAGGAAACTGGTGCAAGCAACTACATTCTTCATGTCAAGACCAACCTTACCAGCTTCTCCATCAAAAACAAACTTTTGCAGGGAATCAGCTGTGCCAGCACACAAGAAGGTCTTTTCACTTGCATCATCAAGGATGCTAAATAATTCATTGGACGATAAAGGAAACTTGGAAGGTCGAGCTTGAACAACATCCTGCAGAAAGTACACCTAGGGTCCTCAGAAACAAAATTACAAATAATGGCAGAAATTCAAAAATAAAAGTAAAAACAACAACAGCATAATGGAAAACTTGTAGATATCTTGTTACCAGAAGGGCTTCACCGGCCTTTACATAAGTTTGTGGCAACGAAGAAAACCCCAGCTTCCGAATAAATGATGCCAATGCCCTTATAATTGAAGACCCAGGAACTTCCTAAAATGTATTGCTTATTAGAAAAAGATTAAACAATAAATGGCCAAGGAAAGAAACTAGGGTGGAAGAAGAAAAGTACAAAGAAAATGATGCCCATGACGTTATAGCTGAAGACCCAGTAACTTCTTAAAATGTATTGCTTATTAGGAAAAGGTTAGACAATAAATGGTGTAGAAAAGAAACTAGGATGGAAAAAGGGAAGTACAAAGAAAAATGAGTACTGCTAGCAATATAACTTATTTTTTTACTAAATACAAGTGCATCTTAGACCACACATCTGTAACTCTCCGATAGGAACCCATCTGGACTGCCACAGTGTTGCAGATGTAAGGTGTATGAAAGGCAGTTCCTGAAGTTTTTTGTTTTCTGAATGCTCATAAGTTGATAGTTCTTGCAGTTTTTTCAAATCAATGATCAAAATGATAAAAGAAATTTCTATCACCCCATACGTGTCTTCTTTGTAGAGCAAGCGGTTGAAGTGCTTTACATCTGGTAATCAATGTCCTACCAATTTGCATCTTGTATTTGGAAGCTTTTCTCCTCTATGTTAGGCTGCAGGTGGAACCCACTGTACAACATGGCAAAGTTTGTTCAACCCCACCTTTTCTCACAACCAAAGAAGAGGGGCAAGATTATCTGGAGGTGTAGTAGGGCAGCTCTATGAAGCTTATGGAAAGAAAGGAATAGAAGACTGTTAAGGGTAAAGTTTCAAAGCTATAGAATCTGAGGATCATAGTTGCTCATTAGATTAATCAGTAAAACTCGAAGTGCTTTTGGACAATTATACATTAGAATTATGAGAATGAGATGAGAAGTCAAAATGTTAGACTTAGACCATCTTTAATCCACAAAAAAAGGCAGAAAACCCTGCAGGTAACACACTTTTCCCCATTTCCATGCCATTCAATTTTTAGAGCCAAACAAATATATATATATATACATATATATATAAGCAGATTTGCAAAATCCTTTTTCCATCCTCCTCTTCCATTTCCACCCTAATCCAAACACAGCCATGTAGTATTTTAAGAAGAAAAACAGTATGAAAACCTAGAAAAGAAAACCATAACCAACTAAATGAAATGGGTTTTAAGTAAACCTATAAAATCTTAAGTTTATATGCAGCATATTTTGGATTAGTGAGTGAACAATGATGGATTTACCAAATAAACAATCCAGGTCTCAGGATATATGCCCAAGAAATGATGTCGACCTTAAGAAAATTGATATTATCAACTACTTGGACCCTGAGCAGATTGACATAATTATATTTTATTTTAGAAATAACTCAAGCAGATGAGATAATAACTGAAATGCCATTACCTCTAGCATTACATTCTTGAATGACAAAATTTCCTTGCACTGATCCAAAGAGAGCTGCAAAATAGACATAAATCAGCATGGTGCTAGGATGGAAAATGCATTACTTAAAAACAATATAAATTACAAAAGGATGATTACCTTATCCCAAAATACACCCAATATGTCCCTGTTTTTAGGAGAGTCCTACAAAATATCAAAAGCATCCAATACCAAAATGTCAGAGATGGCACAACAAGAACAAATTTATCATGTCTGCAAAGATAGATGCAGATTTGATTCACAATAGGGCAACTATCAGTATCACAATTGAATAAACTACAAATGTTCAATATGAGTTCAAGCACAGCACTTGCAACCACAGAACAAGCAGCCAGTTGAAATAAGATTAAAACCTTGTCAATGTTCAAAGACCGACGATGTATACGTATATGCCTTCGATAGTTAATGGGTGAGCAAAACTCCCGGGAACACTTATCACACTTTTGCATTGGAGCCTTAGACGGAGATATCAAGGGCCATCCTGGAAGATCTGACATAGAGAAAATGTAGCAGTGAATCATCAACATCATTGGGTTTAACTTGAATCCAAACCTAAAGCTAGCTAGATTCTACAACCCAAATACCTGGTTATGACACTTGACATACATTTTTCAGGCTCACCATTGGCCTTAGCAGCGGCCTGAGCAAAGGCAACAACAGCCTCAGGGATTTTGAGAGTTTGCATGTGTTCAGAGGCACTCTTCGTCCCCTTTACAGCGACTCCGCTACTGTTTATATGGTGAATAGATTCCTTTACCCCATTAGAATAAGAGGTATATGAATTAACACCATTATAGTGCCCCAGATGACGTTCCTTCCCTTCTATGCTGTCGTTAAACTTTGGACCTTTAGAGAACTTGTTAGTACCTTGCTGGTCTAAAGCATGAAGTAACTGAATCCACTGGACCGGATTGTCACCAGCCCTTGAAAAAGAAAGAAAAGGCTCTTTCCCTATTGCTTGTCTGATAAAACTGTCAATGGAATCACTCCCCTCTGGCTTCCCAAACTTCTGCTCAGACCACATTGCATTTGGAGTGCTGCAGTCCCTCAGTATTGGTATTGGCATCTAAAACTCCCAAACAAAACTGAATAGCTGTATATAACAATGCTGTCCCACCTAAAAGAAAAGGACAAAAAACATGATTTTGCATCTTCTACGAGGAACGTAATAGGGAAAAATGCCATGCGCACAAAATTGGGAAAACTCACAGCAGTGAACATGTAATTTTCCTAGCATATATCAATAGTTTTGTCAAGTGTAGATTATGATATATAGTGCATCACTTAGGCCTAGGCTCTTGAGAAAAGGAAATATTTTAAGGTTCTCCCTTTTCCATGTTGAGAAAGGGACAGGGCTAGAAGTTAATATGTCATTCATTAAGCTAGCAACAATACAGAGATACTCAGCCAAACTAGGCAACAATAAGAATCTAAGTTTCAACAGAATTTTCATAATTTCAGGATTTAGCTCTGCTTCAATGATCTTCAAGGATGGAGGGACCAAGGGGAACACAAAAGGAATTAAAAAGGAAATAGGAAGAAAACAATGATAATTAAAAGGAGAAGCACATTATTCAACTAGATTTCGGTCCTAATTTCTGTTCAAACAAAGCGAAAACCTAGTTCAAATGGAACATAAAACCTTGGTAACAAAAGTGATAAGACATGGGACTTGGGTCTAAGGTAAAAGAATGCAATGCTTAGATGGCAAAGATTCATGCGCGGTGCAAACCTAGACAGACCGAGGATCCACCAAAATAGAGAGAATGCAATACAAAAACAAACAGATGGCTGACAAAAAGATTTACTACAAAAGTAGCTCCGTAAGGATACTGGATTAAAATCTCTATTTACCCTCCAAATGCAAGCACAAGATGACGAAATTAAATAACAGTTAAATGCATATCGAAAAAAACAAAATGGATCAAATTCCAGCAAAAGAGAAAATCCAATCAGAATTATATTTGAAAGACCAAGTACGTGAAGCAAGCAATCGAATTAAAACCAAGTGAAACAATTAAAGAGATCAATATGAATAAACAAATCACAAGAATGAAGCGAAGTTTCGCATAGGTGTTCCGACAATAAGATCTACGATCATCACCAAGTGAAGTAGAATGGTGGTTTACATACCAGTTGGGATCGAGGAATCAGTTTAGAGAGAGTAGGTGATTTGCAGAGGTTGCAGACGATCGGAGAGATTCGAAGTCACCATAGGTGAAATGAGAAACCCTAACGACGAGATGAACCGGTCGGAAAAAGACTAAAGTGGTCGCCGATTTCTCGACGGAAAAAGAAAATGAGGTTCAAAAGAGGGAAATATATAGGGTGTGTGAAGAAGGAAGAAGTAAGGAAAAAAAAAGACCGCTCTTTCGAGTTGAGAGAGAGAGAGAGAGAGAGTTCTAAACGGACCGTCCACATTCCTTCGCATAATCACTTGGCCACTTGGAAGGTGACACACTGACATGGCGATTCCTGACTGAAAGTCTGAAAGTCTGAAAGTCTGAAATTCTGAAAGTCTGAAAGTGATTAGAAATCTTCTCGATGTCGAATCTTCTACAGTGCCACTCGTAATTCGGAGCCAATCGTGGTGCACGTTAGCTCCATACAGGCTGGTCCAAGTGTAGGGTGTAAGATAAGGTTTTCGAGTTATATTGCCACGTGTAAGGCATAAGATGTGAGATTTGATCCAAATGCAATCGAGATTTCTGCTTCTCCACCCTTGAGATTGAACTGCAATGCAATCTGGATCGGAAGGATAGTTTTAGACTTGCCACGTCACTCTCAAGGCTGTGTTTGGCTTCAATACAAATAAATTTGTACTGCTGTAAAACTATAACAGTGCAAATGATTTGAGCATAAATTCTGACTTATTTTTATTTTAAATTTTAGTTTATTTTGCTTGAGTTTCTTTTTGAAAACGTTTATTTTATTTGATTATAATATATAAAGTAAATTAAGACATTAAACAGAATAAAGTAAAACTTAAAACAAAATTAAATGAAATTTTCTATATTTTTTCATTTGCACTCCTGTGCATTTGTATTAATGCAAATTAATTTGCACTGAACCAAACACAGCCCAACGAGTAAAGCCCAATGGAAGTTTGTGAAGGCAAAATTCTGTGGTTGTGGGTTATGAAGCCCACAAAACTTATGATTAGTTGATACCAAAATAAAGCCCACAGTTCTATCTTGGTTTCTGTGTGAAATGGATCGGAAATTTGTTGCATCTTGTACAGCAAACTCGGCCTCTGCCTACGGACATTTGAAATAATCGAAAGACAGCCATCCATTAAAAATAACGATTTTTTCTTTTTAAATGTTAGATTCAAACTTTTAAATACTTTCCTAGAGAATGACCCATATGGGATCACTAAATGTGTGTACAATTTAGTTTGAAGTTTACTATTTAGTTATCAAAAATTAAATTTAAAAAAAAAAAAAAACCTAATATAGGTCTTATTTGAAAACCATTATCAATTTATGTTTTTTTAATTTAATTTAAGATATTAAATGATATCTTATTCATAAATAGTAACCCACTTTATTTGGTATTTATTATTTATTTAATAAATCTATTTTAAGTTATTTATTTTTAAAAGTTAAATTAGGTTGCTTCCTAAAAGTTAAATCAAATTTGTAGTTAATAAAGTATTTTCGTTTTGAAAAAAAAAATCATTTAAAAACAAGCGTGGATTTATGGTAATCTTTTAATGGGACCCACTATTTGTATTTAATAAATAATTGTCTATTGAGAATGTTTATGAGTAAAACTACCCACTTTTTAAATCTTATTTCTTGAATTAATAGGATGTCACATGTCTGAATGGTGGTCGTGGGTTGTGGGTTTTAGCAGCAATTTCTCATAAAATACCACGTGTCTAGCTTTCCAGAAAAATGACAATGCCACATGTCTAAATGGTGGGGGTGGTAGCTTGGTAGTGGAATTTTTCAAAAATTGCCATGTGTCTAGCTTTCCACAAAATGAGAAGGCTATATATATATACTAGCAGGGAACCGTGCGATGCACGGGAAAATCTAAAAGATTTAAAAACCTTATTTTTTCATTTAATGTTGATTTATAAAAAATAATTATTGTTAATTGAATATGAACAAATATTTTTAATAAATTTAGTTTTATTAATAATTTGTAGTAATTTTAATAATTTTTATTCTTCTTATTATTTTTAAATGAATTTTTGATTAATTTTAAATAAATAAAAATAATTATAAAAGCTAACATTTTTATTAATTCCACTAATAATTAACAATTATATAGGAATGACAATGGGGTGGGTTCAGGATAGGGCACGCCATCCCTTTCCCTGCCCCATAGTCAAGACACTCTACCCCATCCCCGCCCCGTCCCCAGTGTCACGCAGGTTCAGGGCAAGGTAACCACTCCTCAATGTCGGGCGAGTTTAGAGGCAAGGCACCCCACTCATTATCAAGGATGGAGAATCCTTGAATTTCCCTGTCCCATCCCCAATATTGGGTGGGTTCAAGTAGAGGTGTAAATTGGGCCGTGCCGGGTCGGCACGACACGACCCGCATGTGGTCCGCACAAAGTTCGAGTCGTGTCGTGTTGGCTCATGAGGCGTCCTAGGTTGTGCCTCCCTCCTCTAGGGTAATTTGGGGGGGGGGGGTCGATTCGGCATGGCCCACGACTCAAGCCCGCATAGGCCCGTGCCATGCTATGGGTTGGTCTGGTCCATGGGTCAGGCCATGCCGCACACCAAGGCAAGCTCAAGGCAAGGCACCCACTCCCCGTCCAAGGTTTTTAAAATTGGACCAGATGGGAAACCGTTGTGGGGTCGAACGATCTAACTATTCGGTCCAAACGGATGACCTGCTCTGACGAAAAAATAAAAAATTAGAAAAATAAAAAAGGCCAAAAAACGTTGTCCGAGTTGACGGTTCAACCGCCCAGGTCAGTGGTTTGCTAACCAAATAAACGGTATCTAGTTCTCAATTTTTCCGGTCTAACCATCTGGTTTAATCCAGTTTTGAAAGCACTTACTCGTCAACCCAATATTCAATTTGACGATAGAAATGATCAAAAGGATATATTGGGTATCAACTACATGGTAAATTTCTAAAAGTACACTAAATTGTCTTTAATATTCATAAATGTATTTTTATGAAAATTTTGGAAAATTTATTGTACCTGTGTAATTTTGAAAATTTATTCAAATTTATTTAAAATTTTATTAAATAATTTATTTTCTTTTTAAATGGTTTACTTATAGAATTATACTAATTTATCTTATAATTTCTAATATAGACTAACCAATAATTTCCTTTTTCCAATATTATACTAATTTATCTTAATAATTTGTGTAATCATTTGTTCAAATTATAGTTTTCCATTTCCCATAGTCATTTATCTTTAATAATTTGCAATGAAAATTACACAAATTTTCAATATTTTTTCAAAATCTATCAAATGTAATAAATTTTCCTAAAATTTCTAAAATATTATAATAATTTTCAATAATTAATTAATGCATTTCAAATACTTTATATCTTTTAATTTCAAAAATGTTATTTTACGAAAATTTTTGAAAAATTTATTACATTTGTGTAACTATGGGGATTTATTGAATTTTTTTAAATTGTTATTAAATATATATTTTTTTTATTTGGTAGTTTACTAACAAAAGTCACTAATTTATCTTTTATTTTTCAATATAAATTAATTAATAATTTTATTTTCTAACATTAAAACATTTGTTCCCTCATTTATATTTGGTTATTAATTATAATAATAACAATAACTAAAATTTTATACTTTTTTGATAATTGTTAAATATAATTCTCAATTTTATAGAAATTAGTTAAAGAGTTTTCAATTTCTATAAAATGTTGTTAATGAGTTAATTAATAACAATGTTTATTAGTTTTTGGTAATTTACTAACAGTACTAGTAAGAATATTTATGTTTTGGTAATTTACTAACCGTATTTATTAACTTTTGGTAATAACACTATTTAATACTCATTGAATATGGGTGGAATTAAATATTAACCTTATTTAACTATTTATTAATTAATATGAATATTTTAAATGAAGGAGAGTGGGTATAGATTGAGGGGATGCATTTTAGGAATTGATTAGGGAGTGGGCAACATGATACTTTCCTATTGGTTTAAATGAGATACTTTATGAGAGAGATTATAGGAATATTTTTAGGTAGTTGGGTGACATGGCTTAATGGGAGTGGTGGGAAGGGGTAGACCTGTTCATGGGCCGGGTAGCCCGATGGCTCGGCCCGGCCCAACCCGCACCCCGGTCGGGCTTGGTCATGTAATTAGGCCCGCGGGCCTGACCTCGGGCCTAACACAGTAAGCCCGACTGTGTTATGGGCCGGGCTCGGGATTTGTCAAAAAAGCCTGGCCTGAGCCCAGCCCGACCTGACTCAACATTATATATTTTATAAAATACATAATATGTATTTTATATATTATATAAAATATATAAATAATATAATATTTATTGAAATATATATTTATAATTTAATATATACATTGTTTATTTTTTTCTTTACAATTTCTCTCTCTCTCTCTCTATTAAGCCGCTTCAGTAGTAGTAACAACATGGGCTAAATTTCGGGCTCGGACTTGGGCCCAGACCCGGGCTTTGAGCTTTTTATGAGGGTCGGGCTCGGGCTCGGGCCTTAAAAAAATCTATTAATATAGAGTGAAAGCCTAGCCCGACCCAGCCCATGAACAGGTCTAGGAAGGGAAGAGGAGAGATAGTCAAAGAGAATGCAAGGTGGAGATAATGAAGCAAGGAGATGCATGGTGACGAGGACCCATGATTTGTTAAGCGAAAGTTAAACAATAGAAATACAGAAGAGTATATAATTGTTTTATATTTTAACTTTTTAATAAACAATCCGATCAAACTCAGCCCAAGTTGGTCAGTTTTCTAGTATTTCAGATTGGCTTTGGTTTAATAAATATATATTAATATTTTATATTTTAAATTTATTTTTTTAATAAGAGAAAGTAGGAAAATTCCCATATTTGTTAGTCTAAAATATTTTATATCATAGATTTAATTCTTGTAATTTATTTTTTAATAATATCATTGTAATTTATGAAATATAAAGTTAATTTTTAAGTTTAAATCTTTTGAACAAACAAACTAAACCGAAAATTGACCCAAATCGATATAACCCAAGTTGGTGGGTTTTCGCTAATGGTTAATCAGTTTCTAGTGACAAACTATGGACTTGACCAAATCAATTTGATTGGCGAAACAACCTGCAACTGAACAGAACCAATCATTGAACACTCCTAATTTCAACTAAACTTATAGTCTAATCTCTAATAAATAACAATAGTTTAATC